TTCTGACATATGCCCACTAAGATGAATACTTATGGGCTTCCAGGGTGAATTATATGTTTACCCATAAATAAAATATATTCTTTAATTAGATTTTTAATTATAAAAAGTAACATTGAATATCTTTGTAATGAGAAAATGTTCCTATTACACATGTGTAGTAGCCCTCGGTGATACAGCGGTAAGTTTACCGACTTACAGTACTAGAAATAAACGACCTTATAACATCAAAGTTTTCTTTTTCTTTAATTGGACACTAAACGTTTCGCCTTACAGCTTCTTTAGAAGCATTCCATTAAAACATAAACCGTAAGGCTCCTGAAGGAGTTATAAGGCGAAACGTTGAGTGTCCAATTAAAGAAAAACAAAACTTTGGTGTTATAAGGTCGTTTATTTCTAGTATTAAAATGTCTTCTATACACCAATAGGCATTACAGAAGTTAATTAAGAAGTTTACGGAGTTACAACCTAAAATCCGAGGTTCGGATACAAACAAACTAACAAAAACACTTCTGTAATCAAATAAGAATGTTATTTTAAATAATCGTATATGTTTCTCTGAAATTTCTCCACAAACACGCATAGATGCGGAATTGATTTTAAATGGAGTAAGCAAAAAAGATGCGTGCTATTTAACCACCCGATCGTATCTTACTTCCATCTTAATTCAGATAGGAACTAGGGAGAAGTAAATACTAGAATTACAAGAAGCATGAGTCTCATGCTAAATCTGAGCTGCCTATAAGTTATGACGTCAGTGGCTTCATGTAGTCACGCATGTGTAAATTAGAATATTTGATAAATGATGTTCCGTTATTATATGATTTTATTTAATATTCGCGGCTTCTGTTTTCCAAACATTTCTGATAATAAAGGACTGATTAAATTTAGTCTCGTTCGCCTGTTTTGAGTATTCGCGCAAGGCTTACACAATGGCTGTCTACGCTAGACGTCTATAATTTTGTACTGAAAACTATGGGCGGTTACAACTGAACAATACCTACCGCCAACTGTTTGAGTATTTTCACTCGTGACCAATAGTTCTATAATGTATTATTTGATATCTAACTAATGCATTTTTCTATATAATACCATGTCCCGAAGTGGGCTGAGTGGTATGTCTGCGGACTTATACTGCTAGAAACCGGGATCAAATACCCGTAGTTGGCAGAGCACAGATAGCCCCTTGTGTAGCTTTGTGCTTAATAACAAACAACAACCACAATTATATAATGTCCATGGCTGTATTTTTTATGTTTATTTTAATCAAGTAATTGTTTGATCTAAAATACTTTTAAACCAACAGTGTGTATAAGATATTTATATTGTTATACAGCTTCAAAGATCCAGGTTTTGGTTCTTGAATTTATGTAAAAGTTTTAAACCTTAGACTTTTAATTCTATACTTGTCATAAATCGTTTTAATCAAATTATACATGGTTTATAACTTTAATACCAGATGTCAGTTATTGTTAAGCTTGTTACTTAGATACCTACTTTAAAAAACACAGATAAACGAATTTGTATTATTCAGTATCTTGTTGCCTGATGAAGGCTATGGTAAGAGGGCCAATAGCCAACAATTAAAAGTATTTACCATAGAGAAAAGTCAGTGAATATTTTTTGCATATTAATGTACCCACGTTATAATAGAAAAAAAGATGAATCTTAATATGTTATTACTATAATCTTAGTATCTTTACGCAAAAATTCCATTACCTTAACAATATATTCTCAGTATCTTAACACTAAACTCTCATGTTTCCCATTATTAATGAAAATATTAAGAGGTTAAGAAAGAAACTTTTCCCAGTCTCTGGTTTAATATTTTTATTATATTATTGAAACTTAGTCAGTTATGTTATGTTCTTATTGAAGTTCAGTGGTTTGGATTATCCCCATGAAACTTTACTTCAATACAGGTATCATAAGGTACAAATTTATCCGTTTCAAAAAAAAAAAAGGAAAATGATAGAACATAATATATATGTTGCCCACCCACCACTCGATTAAAAATATGAGAGTAAGATAAATGTGACAAACTTCCGTCGTGTGTCTGTCTTTCGCCCTAAACTAACTGACAACATCTGAATTTACTACATCATATATACATAGAACATTCACTATTTTACATGCAGTGATTAGAAATCTTTAGTATAATCTTGACAAATTAGAACACAAATATAACGTAGTTAAATAAGCTGCTCTTAATGATCATTAGTTAATAAAATAACGCGATTTAACTAACTTTTCAGCTCTATATGTATAACTCGTTTTTCTATTGAAGCATCAAAAATTATTAATGAAATAGCAATTATACGATACGTCAGAATTAAATTCTTTTTGAGTCTAGGCTTAGCTAAAAGGTTGAATAAAATTAATCTTCAAATAAACGTACTGATGTTAAAAAAAGTATACATTAGTGAATCCGATAGATTATGGTTCATTAAGTGAACTAAACATGGAACTTGAAGAGATAGATTCGTAAGACACATTAAAAAGCAGCTAAGAAAGCAACTTACTGTATGGTGGTATTTTGAATATGAACGACAACTTATACGACGTATGTACTCAATGATCAAATTAGAGACTTCCTAATTTAGAACCGTTGACCAGGTGAAGGGCAGAAAGTTAGCAGCACCCACCGTCCACTCGGCTACATTTTTCATATACCTAGATTAAATGGTTCTTTTAAAGTAGGAGTGCGTTCAACAGCATAATGCGGGCTCGAACCTTGGACTTTCCTGACAAGCTAACCACTACTGCACACCTAGTTCACATCTTATGGGATACTAGAAATTCGTCCTCTTACTCTTAGTATTTTCACTGAACATTTCAGGTTATCGTAAGTTTCGCTCACAGCAAAGGAATACCAGAACTAGACGATAAAATGTCCGTATCATCATTAACTAACGAAACTCGTTATCCCACTAAGTAAAGAACTGAATAATACTTTCAAGATTTAAATAATTAACCCAAATAAATTCCCACTTCATTATTTATCTAACATACCTAATGAATTCGGAAATAAATAATTATTCAAGTTCTATATCTATGTTTGAAGTTACTTGTTTTTGTACATTATATTTATTTGCTCTTATGTTTACTGTAGGGATATATTTGCGTCTTAATATAATTTTGCGAGCTCTATTTCTTTATCTAAAGTTTTGTAACGCTAAAATTCAGGGTTCGATACTCGTGCTGGACAGCTCATTGTGTAGCTACGCGCTTAAAAACAAATAAACAAATATTGTTAAAAGTTACTCATTTTTATAAATTATGTTTATTGACTCTTACTGTTTCTGTGCAAGATTTTTATTTGGTCTGTTGACTTCATAATTTAATAAACTGTATTTACCTGAACTCGATCTGGTGACCTTTGTACATTTTTCATCTGATGTCAGTGTCGTAAAAATAAGTTCAGTTTATTTACTTAATAATCTGGTTAACTCTGCCGATTTGGATTTGATTTGTTGGACTCTTTTTTTTTTATCAGTTCGTTTACTAGATTTTAATTTAAAGAATATGTTTTTACTCGATATTAAAACAGTAAAAATATGTAAAATACAGGGAAATCAAACTATGTTCTAAGTTCTTTGGAAATATAGTGAGATCAATATCACATAAACCTAAGTTAATGTTGTTAGAAAACTACCATGAAAGTAGGACAGTTGCTTAGCAAATTAATTTCAAAGGAAATGAATAAACAAAAACCGAGATAAAATAAGCCTATTAAGATTAAACTTTAGTTATTCACTACTTTAGATTTAAATAAATTTCTTCATGAAATGTATTTTGATCTAAAATTCAAAATATGTGAAGATATGATTTGAGGGTCGAGATACTGCAATGCATCAACTAATCAATGCTGGGCTTTATCCATACACACGTGGTCACAATGTATTGCCTTATTTACTTGTCTATACAATATGGCTGATGACTTAGTTGTCACTGCCTATTCTTAGCGTCGCGGTGTAAAGTGAACCAATATATGGAGATGCTGTACAAAAACCGGTAAAACTAAGAAAGGATACGTGCACAAGTGGTCATAGGCCATCTTTCACACCGTAGAAAACCGGTAAAACCGATGAAGGCTACTTACACACGTGGAGATATAACTTTCGATATTAAACTGGTAAAAATATGTAAAATATAAGAAAATAAAACTAAGTTCTAAGTCATGTCGTCCTTGGAAATATAGCGAAATGAATATCAGATGGTTCCTTCTTTCATACCGTAAAAAACTGGTTAAACTGAGAGAAGTTACGTGCTCACGTGGTGGTAGAACCTTCTTTCATACCGTAAAAAACTGGTTAAACTGAGAGAAGTTACATGCTCATATGGTGATAGAACCTTCTTTCATACCGTAAAAAAACCGGTAAAACTGAGAGAAGTTACGTGTCACATGGTGGTAGAACCTTCTTTCATACCGTAAAAAACCGGTAAAACTGACAGAAGTTACGTGCTCACGTGGTGATAGAACCTTCTTTCATACTGTACAAAACTGGTTAAACTGAGAGAAGTTACATGCTCACATGGTGATAGAACCTTCTTTCATACCGTAAAAAAACGGTAAAACTGACAGAAGTTACGTGCTCACGTGGTGATAGAACCTTCTTTTATACCGTAAAAAAGGTAAAACTGAAAGAAGTTACGTGCTCACGTGGTGGTAGAACCTTCTTTCATGACCTACAAAAACCGGTTCAACTGAGAGAAGTTACGTGCTCACGTGGTGATAGAACCTTCTTTCATACCGTAAAAGAAAATGACGAAACTGAACCATTTCTTGAAAGAATATTGATTGTTTAATAGTTAAGACAAAACAGAGAATATTCAGTTAACTAGAACGTGGATTATGCTCACTATATTTCTAAGCAGTAGTAAAAGTTTAGATATGATTTCCAACTCCGTATTTTGCGTTAGCTATTTTGACGCTGCCTTTGGAAATTTTAAACACTGAACAAACGATATTACGTTTACAACTTTTATAAAACTGTACTTACGTAGAAGGCATGTCCAGGCAGATTTCCTGTGTTGCTTCAAACTGTTATAGTCGTTTAAGCTATTTCGGTGTAAGAAAATCCTGCCTAGCGCGTGAGCGCGCACACGCACGCGAGTAACAAAACCAGAGCTTGCTAGCGGCTGATTACATCTGCTGAAGGTAGTCAGTCCCGTGCTTTGCAATAAGCCCGTGAGCTAGCGCGCGCAGACTTGATAGAGTTGGTTGTAGCGACGCTTTCTTCTGCAGCGGCTCTGCATATATTCACGTGAACACTTGGTGCAAGCATATCACGAACTCTCAGTTATATTTCGACTTTTGATCTTTCCGACTGACAGTTTTAAAGAATGAAGAAGACAGACGAAGCATTATTTTGTAAAACACTTTCAAACATTCATTTTATAAAAAAGAAAACCGACAATATTAAGGTTTTCTCAATGTCTTATTTCTAAATCTGTTGCTGCTTTACTTCAATTTCGAGGCGGATTTCGTTATATTTTGTATTATAGATGAGCCTAACTTCTTCATTAAAGCCATCTTCTTACACGTGCTTCTCTACTTACTTAAAAAATAAAGAGTCAAGTTTTCACACGTGTTGTACTTGTTTATGAAGGAGAGTCGTTTTTTGTGTTACATATGATGTCTTACTTGTTTTCCAAGGAAATTATTCTTTTTACATGTTTTTGAAGGAAAGCCGTCATCTTACATACGGAGCTTTACATGATTTCAAAAGAAAGTCTCTTCTCACATGCGTTTTATTTATTTCTAAAGGATGGATCTTCTTACATGTGATGATGTACTTGTCTTTAGAAGATAAATAATATTTATGATATTGATTGTTTTATTAATCCTCACTTTAAAATGTTGTTTACATACCTTTCACTACCACACGTTACATCATATTTGGTAATCGTGTGACTTTGACTGTATCAACTCTCTGTGTAAAGAAATGATCAAAACCGCAAATATTCAGTCAGTTTAACAATTGAAATGAATCGGAAAGCCGAGCAGTGAATAGGTGGGTTAACCGCAACACTGACAGTATTTTTAACTAACCATTTTTTATGACTTATAGGTTATAACGGATCCTATAACAATGAAAATTATGACTCATATATTATTAGGGAATCTGTGACCAACAAAGTGGTGACTCATATGTTATTAGAGACCCTGTAACCAACAAACTGGTGACTCATATGTTATTAGAGACCCTGTAACCAACAAACTGGTGACTCATATGTTATTAGAGACTCTATAACCAACAAACTGGTGACTGATATGTTAGTAGAGACCCTGTAACCAACAAATTGGTGACTCATATGTTATTAGAGACCCTGTAACCAACAAACTGGTGACTCATATATTATTAGGGAATCTGTGACCAACAAACTGGTGACTCACATGTTATTAGAGACTCTATAACCAACAAACTGGTGACTGATATGTTATTAGAGACCCTGTAACCAACAAACTGGTGACTCATATGTTATTAGGAAACCTGTACTCAACACACTGGTGACTTATATGTTATTAGAGACTCTATAACCAACAAACTGGGGACTTATATGTTAGTAGAGACCCTGTAACCAACAAATATATTATTAGGGATCCTGTAACCAACAAACTGGTGACTCATATGTTATTAGGAATTTTGTAACCAACAAACTGGTGACTTATATCTTATTAGGGACCCTGTGACTAACAAACTGGTGATTCATATGTTATTACGGACCTTGTAACCAACAAATTGGTGGATCCGGAAACGATTTTGTGCATAAATAAAAATGTATTTAGAAATCTGATGAGGTCCATGTTTTTTTAATTCTAGGTTTAATACATATGCAGTGAAACACCCTTTTAAAAAATTAATAAATTCTTCTATTAAAAGGTTACATACGCTGATCAAATTATAAAAAAAAATATCCCTTTCTTATCCCGAGTTGCACAACGGAAACTAATCACACAGTCTAAACCTTTAGTAAAAGCTTTCGTAAGTAGATTTTGAATTAAGGTTTTGTTAATACTAGGTATTTGCAATTATTAAGTACTCTATGAACTCTAGGCTAAATTTGGAACTGTCTATTGATTACGAACGGTACACAGAGAAAATGAGCTTAACGGTACGTTGATTACGAATGGTACACTGATGTTGTATTCACAGAGAAAATGAACTAATGATGTTTCCTATTTCATCAAACGGGTAATAATTAGTCTGGGATGTTCTAATGGATAAAAATATCATTAAAATGAAAAGCATATTTGTATCGTGGAAATATATGTTCATTATATTTCACCAAGACAAATTAGAAACCATGAACGTAAAAAACAAAGGGAATAAAGATACATTAAACGTTTCGTTAAGGCTTGAAATTAAAACACCGAAGTTTTCTGCATACAGTATTTAACACCATCGTGCTGTTGTGGCCAGTGCTTACAAATATTTGGGTATTGAATAAATCATTCAGATAGTGCGGTATTCCTGATTTAATGATAAAGAAAAGCTAAAAACCAGAATGATCCCATTAGTTTAAGCTGTTTCACATCTTAGATGTTAAGGCCTAACCTACTTATCCATCTATCTATCTATCTACCTAAAGTGATAAATTGATGACTACCCCCCATTTTATAGGGAATTAAACTTGATTGGAAATATAACTCTTTCTGGATAACTATAGTACAAAATAAGCAGATTGTAATGCATTTCACGTATCTTACCACAGCTAAAATATACAATAAGAAATATTTTTTTTACGTTTTATTGACATACGATCAGTACACTTTGCAGGTAAAAAAAAAGAGGACAAAACTTTAGTTACTGAACGTAAAATACTGACAGTAGTATTTAGATGTCTTCATTTATCATAAGTTTTCGCAATGAATATTCCACACTTAAAGGACAAAACTTTTTTGTTTAAAGTCAGGTGATCAATTGAAGCAACACATCATCTGTTAATAAAAAAAAAGGCTTAATGACAATAAATGAATATCCACTGTTTAGATTACTGCCGAGTGTGAGGCTTTTAATTTTTTTTGGTTGTTTACGCTAAAGATAAAACAAAATAAATGTGAAGCTCACTACATTTAATTTTTTTTATTTTTGCTTGTTTTAAGAATAATACTGCACCTGGGCTATCTGTGGTCTGCTCAACGCGAGAATATAACCAGATTTTTAGCGTTATAAGCCCTCAAAGTTACTGCTGAGCCACCGAAGAGTCATATAAAAATTAGTTTGGTAATTAGAGTACAATCAGTAATTTTTTAAGTATTAACTTTAAATCATAATTATATATTAGGTCGTCGAATTTTTTCTGTCTTCGATTATTCAAAACCAAATGTGATATTTATATGTGCAGAGTAAACGGAATGACTAAATATAAAACACAACAACTAAACACACTAAAATTCCGCGACAAAAACTGGAAAAAAATCTAAAACTGAAACATTTGGACATCTACTGTTGTCGGCTGAATAGTTCACAAAAAATAAATTAGTAGTATTAAAGCTGCATATGTTCATGATATCCCATATAAATATAGAATCAGGGTGGTGAGTAAAAAAATCATCTTAATGCACCGTACAATCTACAACCAACCTGAGCCTGGCATAGCCTGGTTGTTAGGTCGCTCGACTCGCTACCCGAGGATCGCAGGTTCGAATCCCTATCACCGAACATTTGTTAGTAAAAGAGTAACCCAAGAGTTGGCGGTGGGTGGTATTGACTAGATGCCTTCCCTCTAGTCTGACACTGCTAAATTAGTGACGGCTAACAAAGATAACCCTTGTTTAGCTTTGCGAGAAATTCATAAGAAACCAAACCCAACTACATTTACGAGAATTACAAAGTTTGTTTGTTGATCTTCGCCCAAATCTACTCGAGGGCTATCTATACGCTCATTGTCCATAATTTTGAAGTGCTAGACTACAGGGAAGACAGATAGTCAACATCACCTACACCAAACTCTTTAACTACTCTTGTCAGAACGATTAGTGGGACTTGACCGTTACACTTATAATGTACCTACGGCCCAAAGTGCGGAGCACATTTTTTGCTATCACTGGCGAGTAAGCCTAAAATACACAGTTATATACTAAAATACTGCACTCGACCCGAATCTAAGTCTAAATGACAATTTACCAAATGATAGAATAAACTATATAATAACTAAGAATGCATCTATTGTAATTTGCTTCTAACAGTAAATTATTCCTGAGTCAATTTAATCTTAGATATCAGGACGATGACGCACACGCGTAAAAAGTGTGAATAGATACTATTAGAGATTAGCGACAGAAGTACAAAAAAGTGAAAGTATTGAAGTGCTTTTATTTTGAAAGAGGATGAAATAGAAGTCAGAAGAAAAGACGAGAAATGCATCTCATTGTGAAATAGAAAATAAACATCAGTCATTAATTCTTAATCTGATCTGTCGTGAGCTGAAAGGTTTAATTTTGATACGCTTACACGTATGCGTATAACTTTATTTATCGATGCATATCATGCCCCTGTTAAACTGTATTTTCTACGCAACAAGGACGTTTTACGGTAAAAACAGTTTTGTACAACGATCTTCTACATTTCCAACTAGCACAGAGGTTAAAATCATAAATAATATTCGACGTTAAACTGGTACACAATTAAAAACATTATTTAGTACGTACTCTACTGTCGTAACAATAGTAGTAGTAGTCGTACTTTTAGTTAAGGTACGACTAATAAGTACGTTAAATTAAAATTAAGTTTTAATTT